TGCATATGAATGACTATGGGAACACTAGTTAGCTTTTACTTTTTTACTTTTAGATAGGCACTAAGTTCCTCTGAAACTTGGGGCTGGTTGTACGGTAAAGACAGTATCCAGACATCAGAAAGAGTTAAAGAATTCCATTCAGTTTCATCAGCTGAGACCAGGCCCCCTGAGGATTATGATGCTGCTGTGGGGCTTGTGGCTCTGGCAGGCAGTGGGATCTCATAAGCCACAAGAAATGTGAGAAAGGATCTTTGCAGGCCTGGGGTGGAAGGAATCTGAATCTGGGTCAATGCATTTTATCTTTTTGTTTATTTGAAAGTACTTTTAAAAATTAAATGAATGATAAAAAATAAAATGACTGACAATGATAGCAGGTGAGAGGATTTAACTCCTCTTACTCCAAATATTGATCATCAGTTCTGTACCCCCACCACTTCCAAATCAATAGTCCAAATAAACACTGTGCCAGCACAAGCAGTGGGAAAACTTCCTTGCCCTTTTTGTGTTGAGTTGTGTTTCACTAAGAGAATCAAAGGGTACATCGAAATTCTAACTCTGAGTATCAATGAACAGCACCTACTTGGAAGTAGGGGCTTTGCATATGTAATTAGTTCAGGTCTCATTGGATTAGAGAGGGTCCTAAATGAAGTATAACTGATGTCCTTACTTTAAAAAAAAGAGTTGAGTAGTAGTCCAAAACAGGATACATAGAAAGTTATGCAATGCCAAAAGATTGTACTGCTGTATCTACAAGCCAAGGCATGTTAAAATTGCCAAGAAGACTAGAAACTAAAAGAACAGCATGGAAAATTCTTCTCTAGAACTTTCTGAGAGGACATTGCCCAGGCAATCTTCATTTTAGTCTGCTGGCCTCCAGAATTATGACATATTTTGCTTTTCTTAAGCCACCAGTCTGTGGCAACACATTGTGTCCCATGCCAGGGCACTCACACCTGGTGACTCCTCTACCTGGGATCTCTCCCTAAAAGTATTTTCTGAGACCCATAGGAGAAGATTGATGGGGCTGGAAGGCCCAGGAAGCTGAAGTGCTTAGATTCCAGCACCTCAGGCCCTCCTGGGCCGCCTTACCTAGACCAGCTGCCTGCCCCAGAACTCTCTACCCACTGAGTGGTTATTTTCCCCATGACACTTGTCTCAACCTAAGTTCACATCCCTCTTCCCTTCCTTTCTTCCTTCCTTTCTTCCTTCCTTTCTTCCTTCCTTCCTTCCTTCCTTCCTTCCTTCCTTCCTTCCTTCCCCTATTGTCTGCTGTGCCCAGTGGAATGTAGGCATCAAGAGCAGGGAGCTCTCTGAGATACTCACCAGGGCTCAAGAGCTGCTCAGACCACATGTCAGACACTTGAGAGTGTTTGTTAAATGAGCAGTACTTGCTCAGGAAGTCACTGTTGAATAAACAAATGAAGCCATATCCCCTACTGTCACTGTCCTTCTAAACAGATTGACATTTCTAAAGCTTTTCTTTATAGAGATCAGGAAAGAGCTATGGGGAGGACTACTAAAAATGATCTCTACATGAGTGTGTAGACAAATCTGATGAGGAGTGTCCCCACTTGAATTACTAATCTTGTGATATTGTCATGGGCAGGAGTTGACTGTGTTCACATTAGAACCACTGTGTGTGTGGTCCACCAGGGCAAGCCTAATAAGGCTGGGAGCACCAGAAGCTTCTAAACTTAGGTCACTTGAGGGTAACTGACAATCATGAATTATGAGACCCTCATCTCTCCTCAAAATAAAGTATTAAGGATTCTCTCAGATTATAAAGGGGTCAGTTAATGTAAAAGTCCCCAGAGCACCAAATCCACTCGGGAAATGTAGCCATGAGAGGGAACCCAGAAGATGGAAGAAACCAGAATGATGGGGATGCACCCTCAGTTCTTGACAGTAGATTAGGTTTCAATGGATGAGGACAACCAGTCCCCAAATTCTAATCAAGGAACACTTCAAAGTCATCCTATGGTCCAAGTTGGAGACAGCATCCTTTAGCTTGTTTCCAATACTTTGGGACATACAGGCACTCAGTTGTTTTCAAAGATATGGGATGAGCTCAAAGGCACCAGGGGGCAGCCTAAGATTTGGGGATCTGAGATAATGACAAAATCCACTGTTGGCCAGTCAATAATTTGCCCTTTGGGTGTTACTGCCTGCCTTGTAGTGAGGTGTGGTCAGGTGACTATTGACCAATGAGATTTCAGCAAATCCAAAGCTTCTTAAAAAATGATGACTTGAGGCTTCCTCCCTTTCACTTGGAGACTAGTGGCAGGAACCATGTCATACCATAAGTTGAATGTAGGACTGGGAGTCACATGCTAAGGATGGAGGAGCAGAAATATAGAAGTTTGAATCCCCAGAGAAACCACAAAGCACAGTGACAGGTCTGCATTGTCTGACTCTGCATTAATGTGAGAAGAATAAACTTCTGACTTCTGTGCACCACTATTGTGTGGAGAGGGATTGCTCTTACTGACAGCGATTCTAACTGATTCAGAGATGATCCAAAGATTCAGAGATTCAAGATGGTTTGGATTCTTGAACAGAGAGACCAAAAAAAGTTACTTTGAGAATACACGCTGACAGGCGGATAGCCTCATGGACCTTTCTGGCTCTTAATCTTAAAACAGTAACCTAGAGAAAAAGTAAAGCTCACACTGCTAATGTCTGTGTTCATTGTCTACCTCCTAAGGAGTAAACGATTGCACAGGTCCAAACTTCATGAATAGAAGCTGGGATTCCTAGGCTCTGTACTCAGGCAGGCCCTCCAGAGCAGTGGTTCTTACAATGGTGTCTGCAGCAGCAGCAACAGCAGAAGCAAAAACACCTGATGACTTTTTAGACATGAAAATTGCTAAGACCTGCCTTGGACCTACTGGATCAGAAGCGCTGGCAATGAGTTCAGAAATTTGTGTTCTCATTCTCTGTGAGGTCAGAGAAGAAAACCAGAGCCTCACACAGGTGAGACAAGTTCTTGTATCACTGATCTACACAATGTGTTTTAACAACCACTCAGGTGGTTCTGATACAGCTAAAGCTTTAGAGGGACTGGATTCCCCAAAATTATTTGCACTTATTATTATCACTACTATTACCAGGGTAAATATTATTACCAGGAATCATTATCTAGGAAAATTAATGTGCAAAACATCCGTTAAAGGGGCTTTAGAGAAAAGAGAGTTGGAATAGTAATACCAGGTTGGGGAATAGGTAAGGAAAAGCGAATTTAAGTTGCATTGGCTAGTTCTACCTTCATAGCTGCAATGGAATCCATGCTTCATAAGGACCCTAAGCCCTTCAACTTACTTCTGGGCCTTGACCTGTGCTTCTTGAATGTGACCTCTTTCTAAGAATGAAAGATACGTAATCACAGTTGATTACAGCACATCAGTGAGGGTAACATTCATCCAAACACTAGAGGAATCCTCTCTAGGAGCAGTCAGCAGTCTGAAACACAAGATTAATTTTCAGGGTCATTTATGGGTAGAATCCATCTTGGAAACAGCTCAAGGTGTCTGTTATCAGAATCATGTGACAGAGCCTATTAATCTCTGGAGGAAAAGCAGATGCAGCCACAGAAAGTAAAATCTCACAGCCTTGCTGCTTGAGACCCCCCACTAAACACCAGAGTGCATTGGTGAGTGGCCTGCCTGACCTATCCAGCTTCAGAGCACACAGCAGAATATTGGGTTAGGATTCATCTTCACATTGACTTAATTTGTTAATTTCAGAGTGGCCTATCCAATCACATGGAGAGCACTAGCTCTCCATGTGTAGCAGACTTCAGTACTGTTGCAGTGGACACATTACTTCTAGCATTTTTAAGGTATTATTGAAATGCTTAGAAAATCTCCAGGCTGGTGAGCCTGACCTCTCTAAGGCAGAATCCCAGGAAATTTCCGGTCTCCCCAAAGGTAAAACAAATCACACTGTCATGTGAGATGTGATTCAGAAGTGAGCAACTGGAGGAGGGACTGTATGTGGGATCTGATTTGTCGGTGAGAACAGAAGCAAAATTGTCTGCTTCCGGCATGGTGGTAAATGTGACATCAAGTCCCTGGCAAAAAAAAAAAAAAAATGCTGCTAGACTGGTGGCAGCAATAGTGGCAGCCTTTTGCCATCCATTTTGAGGCATGACATATGGTTGCAGATATCTTTTCTGGCTCCTCCAGCCTTACTAGAATTCTATGAGCTGCCTAACATCTTTTTTATGAACTCCTTTTCCGATTTATCAGCCAAAAGTATCTTCTGTGGCTAGTAACTAAAAATTGTGACTGTAGCTGGGTGCTGTGACACACACCTGTAATCTCAGTACTCTGGGAAGCTGAGGCAAGAGGATAAAAGTTCAGCTCTAGCGTGGTCACTTAGTAATGGCAAGACCTTGTCTCAAAATAAAAATTTATAAAGGGATGGGAATGTAGCTCAGTCAGAAGATTCTGGGTTCAATCACACACATGAAAAGTTATGACATATAAAAATGAGTACTGGTGTTGTGACAACCACCACGGCCTCAGGGAGATGAGAGTCACCTGGACTGACAATGTAGCAGTACCTCTGACTTCCCAACAGTGTTAGAGGATGGGGCTCTGGCAGCCAAGGGTGCATCTGTGGTTGCCTGGGACAAAACGCGCCTTGCAGGTGAGCTTTTGCGGCATCTGGTACCAGAACGACCTGAAAATCATGAGCCGTTACAGACTATAGGATGGACTATGGGATGAGTTGCTCCATTTCCAGGCACTTAAGACTTCCAAGTGTTCCTGAATCCAAGATGCAGGAAGATCCTTCAGAAGCTAGGGCTTCTCCTTTGCCTTTCCAAGTCCTTTTTCAGCCCATTTAAACTCATCCTAATACCTATCCCTTGGAAGTCAAAAGGTCACAAAACCTTCAAATCAGACTGCACTGGAATGATCATATTTGAGGGCAGATCCCATTCCTTCTGCCTCTACTCCTCCCCTGCCCTCCACTGTCACCAGTTTAAAGCCACCAAGAAAAATGATAAGACATTTATTGAGTCATCTACAGCAATTTGACATCCTTAAAATCCTGGACAAGATTGCAAGCACAGCATTAGTGGTGGCAGCGGGGGCAGTAAGATCTGGGGGACTCATCTTTACTGTGGGAGATGAAACCCAGGTGGCCTAGCTCTCATGAGGAGCCAGGAGCCACGTCTGGGATGCCAGGAGCTGCACCAACCACTCCAGCTTGACAGGTGCAAAGCCACAGAAGACAGACATCAGACAAGACACACATGGTCAAGGGTAGACTCATCCCAGGACCTGGAGTTTGGGGAAAGGAGAAGGAATGGGCATGCAGCCCATTTGAGGAATGTCCCAAGTCCTTGAAGGATTCCCAGGAGGGTGGCATGGCAATGCTCACAGCACCCACGTGAATTCTCTCTATCCTGTTCTTGAGAGGAAACTGATGGAGATAGAGCTGGAGCTCTGTCCACCAGAGCTCTCTAGCCAGCCCCTTACCCCCAATGCTGGTGGTTTTACAGATGGAGTAACGGTTCATCCAGAAGGGCTCCAAGCAGTAGAGAAATAGCAAACAGCAAGGAATTCCTTTCAGGGGGTCTTTGCCCAGGAATGTGCCCACATCTGCCTTGTTTCCAAAGTTCATTCATACAATTCAACCTCATGCTGGCCTGCAGGACAGATGATGCAATCATGTCTTCCCCATTTCTCAGGCTGAGAGGCAAATGCCAGGGAAAGGTGAGCCTAGGGTCACCAAGCACGTGGTGAAGCCCAGGTGAGAGAACAGCATTTCCCACACCGTGCTGACTCCATTACTTCTGCAATCTGGAGTCCTGACAATTTTCCATAGCCAGAGTCTATCTTCTGCACAAGGAGGAATGATAATTCTACAGAGGCCGACGGTCACACACCACTCTGGCCCTGCAAAGGGTTGTGCACCTACTGGTAGGGCCATTTTCTCACCCAGATTTATGCTGAGCTCCCCTGGGTTTCCTTATCAGCCAAAGGAAAAGGTTTGACCAGAAGATTTATAAGTTTCTCCCAGCTCAAGTATTTTGTGAATCTTCCCAGAGATATATGGGGGACGAGTCCAGATCAAACAGCAAGCAAATGGCAAAGCTGGGGTAAGTCCAGGTCCCTGGCTCTTTGTTTGGGCTCCTCTAGCCAGTCTCCAAGTTTCTTGGGCTCAAGTGGGAGTTGATGGTGACAAAGTACTAATTGCTTTCTCTCTGGAGTGGTCCTGAAGGAGGTAAGGGTACTCAACAAATTAAAGAGAGAGCCTCTTCCAGCCTTTCCTTGCAGAAGAGAGGGGCACATCAAAAGGCAGAGGCTTTGATAAGCAACAATGGACATAGGCATATTTCCAGCTTGGGCCCAGTTTGAGCTTCCTTATTCTAATGCCCAAGGATCCAGTTCAGAGAAGATGGAATTACTGGGAGACACTGGACATGTCAAGAAGGCTCAAAGTGCTGCCCACAGAGAATACAGTCTGGCCTCAAGTTTGGTGGGAGACACGAGGCTCACAGTACTGGGTCACTAAAGGGCTGGACCTCCTGAATCCCATTCTCTGACCCTCCACTGGCTCCCTGTAAGCCTCAGCTTCTCTGACTTATAACTCCACTTCCCTCTGGATTGGAGACCCTCGCCACACACTGCCTGCCAGTCCTCTGACTGGGCAGTCACAACGCAACTATATAACTTGTTACCCCAAGGAGAAGCCAGTCTCCTGTGGGAATGGGGTCCATCCTTCAGTATTGCATAAAACAAGCACCTTCCCAGGAATGATCCTCCATGGGCACGGAGTCCCAATACTCTACTCCTCCCCAGCATTAGTTCTGCCAAGTGCCTCCAGTCCTCCTCACACAGCAGTTTCTTACCCTTTCTTGATCAAAGCAATTATCACAGTCTTTCCCAAGGCTCATTCCTGGTAGCTAGCTGGTGTTTAGACAGAGAATTCTAAGGATTCACTGGGATATATACAAGTCATCTAGTCTTATTGCCCATTCTATAGATTTGAAAACAGAGGGTCAGAGACGAAAAGGTTTTGCTCACACCTCATACTGTTCTCCTACAGCATTGTGACCTGAAAAGCCAGAATCTCCTAGGATATTCAGAATACATCACATACATCTGCTTCTAGGACAGACAAAGAGCATTCAGATACAAAATAACCAACAGGAGCCTGAACCTCTAGGAAAACTCAGGCCCCGGGCTCAGGAAACAATTCAGGATGTGGGACTCAGGGTAGTCTTTGTTTTTGCTGCTTTGTGATGATGTATCTATAAAGTCACAGTTTCTTCTTCCACAGGGAAGCAGACCTACTGGTGGGGTGATGGCAAATGAATGGGGTTCACAGCATAGGACTCCTTGGATCTAGGGTACCCGTCATGGTACCTTCCTCAGGCAGGTATAGAACACTGAGTCACTGCATCATGCCCAAGGCACCTGCTCAAGTGTACATGGCCTGACTTCCCTCAGGATGTCAGCTACTGTGAGTCCAAACAGAGGAGAAAGAAGTCTGGTTTCTAAGAAAGGGAACATAAACAGCATTCCTCACCTCACCTGCACACACACATCCACCAAAACCCTAGATGCTGCACACACTGGTGTGCATGCATCTACCTGCCTTGGTTCTGAACTGGAAGACTGCTGAAGTAGCCTGGAGAAGGAACAGAAGCCACCTCACTTCACAAGAGGGGAAACTGAGGCTGAGACCAGAGCATCAGGTCCACAATCACAGTGTTCTAAACCCAAGTGAGGAAGACTCTAGGTCTCTGAATCCTAGGCCACATTCCCTTTCAAGCAGTGTCTCAAGTACAAGGTGATCAGCAGATCCTTGCTCTGAGGACCAGGTCAGGGGAGGGGAGGGATGGACGACTGCACACTTTGTGACCAAAGTCACTACATGTGACTAGTAAGAAGCAGTGGGCCCTTTCTCCCTTTGGCTTTACCAAAGACCTAGGGACTCACTACACTGCCAAGCACACAGGACTCATCCTAATCACAGCAACAAGAAAGAACCCGATCTGCTCACTCTGTAGGCCTCTCCCAAAATACCATCTCATGTCCCCAGGGCTCCTTCCTCTTTATGACACTGAGCAAGGCAAAGCCACCTGTAACCAAAGTCCCCAAGCACTCCACAACAAGATCCTGAAGCAAGCGCTCAAACATGCAGACCAAGAATGTGTGGAATGAACTGGGGCCCATGGTCTCATGGCACACCAGTACCTTCCTCTACATTCTTCAGCCTGGTTGTCTGACTCTTAGGCCAAAGCTATGCAGCCTACAGCTGGAGTCCAAGATGGGCATTGCTGAGTAGCCTCTCCACCCACCAGTAGCTTCTGCCAATGAACATGATAGGTGTGTCAGCCCCTCAAAGCATTCTAACAGCCTGTGACCCAGGGCACTCGAGGAAGTCTTTGCAGAGGTCTCTAAGAGAGGTTGGTAGCTGAGTCCAGGCTGAAGATGTGGCATCTGGGGCTCATCATCCATGAAGGTGGAACGTGGGCAAACCGCAGGCAGGGAACTTGGGCATGTAAAGATTCAAGGTGCTTCAGGATTCACTGACAACACAAGAAGGCAGCTGGTTCATTCTAGTCATGGCTTTGACTCGAGGGGATATGGGGAAGGGACTCAGAGGGACACTCCGTGGTAGGTGTTGCTGGGAAGCAGCTTCTCTGGGGTATCCCCTTGGGATGGGAGGAGTCAAAGGGTAGCTACCGGATGAACTGTGTCCATCTTGAGTCAGGGGTAGAACAGCAGAGATGGCGAAGGTCTTCTTTTACACGTCTCCCAACTCTTCCATCTCCTTTCCAATTGTACCCACATTTCTGGCTCTCAGTTCTTCTTGGATCAAATGAAAAGCACCAGAACTTTCCCTGACCCTCAGCCCCCACCCCACAACTGAAGGCTCTGACTGAAAAAGCCCTGGAGCCATCCCACTGCCCTGGCACCCAGGAGCTAGGCACCTAGACACTGGCCCTGGGCCCAGGCCTGAGAAGGGTCCACCTCTGAAGTCAGACATGAGGAGGGGCTGTCGGGGCAGGCACCACCCCAGCCTCTGTGGAGCAGGGTCTCTCTAGCCTCAGCTCACAAGGCCTCATGCCTGCGGCCAGGCCATCACTGAGGCTGGCCAGACAGTGGGGTGGAGCTGGAGCCTGGCTGAGGTGAGAGAAGCAAGGATGGGACAGATTTCCAAATCTGAGGGCTATTTACATTGTCAAATCAGGGCCCAGGGGGTTGTGGTGGGTGGGGCCAGTACCGAAATAGGAGGGGCAGTAGCAGATTGTGCCTTGCCTCCTTCTCCCCCTTGAGGAGGAGCCAAGCTTCAGCCAGGGCCTGCCCAAGGGGAGGGAAGAGGCTCAAACATGCGCCACAGACACCTGCCTGCAGCCCCAGGCTGTGAGGGAGGAGAGGACAGGGCAGGGTTCATGTGGCCAGGTTGTCGGCTGGAAGCGTGGACATGCGAAGCTGGGAGCTGCTCTTGCTCAGGATAGAGAGCTGGGTGCCCCCGTTCACCCCGCTGCTGGCCAGAGATGGGTGACGATGCTTGAAGTCCATGGTGAAGTATCGGTTCACCTTCCAGCTCCGCCATTTCCGCTTGATCTCTGCCTGCACCTGTGAAAACAACTTGGCTGTGACTTCTGGATGGACATCCTCTCCAGGTATCAGCCCAACACGTCCTGAGGCCTTTCCACTGCCATGCCACTGCCCCTTCCACCACTTTCTCCTCCCCACCTGCAACTTACAGCTGTTCCCAAGTCATCATCTGGGCAAGGTCTGTGGACGGATGGCTCTCTGTTGTCTGTGAGCCACTCAGAGAACAGCCCGAGGGGTCTCGCTGGGCTCTTTAACCAGCAGCCCTTTGGGGTACAGGGGGCAGGGTGAGGAGTCCTCCTCTCACTGACCATTAACAGTGAGCTGCACTTAGAATCATCTGGGGAGCTTTAAAATTCCAGATGCCCAGACCACATAAACAATTACATCCACGTATCTGGGTAAGACCCAGACATCAGTAGACTTTAAAATTATCTAATGGTTCCAATGTGTAGTCAGGGTTGAGATCTATGAGCTAATTCCTCTCTGGGCAAATGCATTACTGTGTGCCTCTTAGCTTGGTGAGTGAGGGCCATGCCAAGTGAGTCTCAGTCCCTATCCGCTCTGCAGCCAACCAGTTTAGTGCAATGCATAAACTGTACCACTGAAAACAGAGTGCAAACCACTCTCTCCACTTCTAACTCCCAGGTCCACTGTAAGCTCTTGACAAGCTCCACATACTCCTGCCTCTCCCAGCCCCTTATGCAGGGCCTTCTCTGCCTGTCCTCATCTGTCCTAGAATGATCCTTACTGTTGATTGTCCTGATGAGCACCAAGCCCTAGCTTGTTTCTCAGATACGAAAAAAGGGAACAGCCTACTAATGTCAAAATCATGCAGCAAAAACCCAAGTGTCATTGTTTTTATCCACTCCCCAAGCTCAGGTCACCCCAGCCCCAGCAGCTCTTTCTAGGCTTTGTTCAAGAGCACCTCAACAGGTGAGAGAGGGAGCCCAAAACTAGAGCTCTGGAAAGGAACATCATAGGCAGGTTCCAGGTCTTTTCCTGAGGTCTTTTCCAGCTCCCCACAGTCCCTGCTCTAAGGAATGTTTGGGTCAGCAGACTAGGCAACTCCAGCCCAGCAGCCCTGCTCATCCACTTTCTGACCCATAGGCACCCTACCTGCTCCCTCTTCCTCCCTGTCACTTCCTGCTCCCTGATGTGTGGCTCAGGCAGCCAACACTCTCTCAGAGCTCTCTGAGCAGCAGAGCAGGTGCCTTTGTTGGTAGAGTTCTGTGCTGCAGGCTGGGCCTCAGCTGCATAGTGGGAGAAAGTCTGGCACAGGCAGAGACAGCCAGGAGATCCTGGCACCACATGACGCCAGCAGATGCATGACCAGCCCCCTCCTGTCAGTACTTCGAGCTTGGCAGTTCCTTCCTCAGGGCAATTTGCCCTGGCAAGCCCCACCCATACTGCCAAAGAACTGAAGTCTTACCTCCCCATTCAGGAAACAGTAGAGAATAGCCACCACAAAGCCCTGGGGAGAGAGAAAAGGCAAACCTGAGCATGCTGGCAAAGGATGTTCTCTATGTGCTATGTGCCCGAGCGAGGGAAGAGCAGGAGTTGGGGATGACACCGGGAAACACAAAAATACTGTGACCTGAACTGGGGCACTGCCCAGGGAAATGGAGCACGATGGGACACATGTTGCTCTGCTCCATCAAGATAGCACACCCTTGAAGCCAGGTGGCTAACAAGCCAGTCCCCACCAATACAGCCTGGCTTTGAATAACCTTGGCCAACTCTTCCCACTGCCAAAAGCTAAATCTATTCTATTTTCAATGCGAGGCCTTCTTTGAATGCTCTAGAGTCTCCTCTAGCTCTCCGACTAGTCTGTAGGGTTCTGAGGGCAGGATGCCTCTAGGACAGACCAGACTTGCATCTTCCTTAGCTAGCACCATCTCCCCATTCAGCCGCACACACCTGTACATTCGGGTAGAGTCAGCTCTTGGCACAGAGTGGGAATTTAGCTGCCACACACAGACCCCAGAGCAAGCACATTTTCCTGAACCCTGCTGAGCCATTCCCCACAGAGCCTGAGCAGAGACTATCTGTTATGCAAGTATGTGAAGAATGCTGGCTGGGAGACCCCAGCAAGCACCTCTACCAAAGCCCTGAGTTCTGATTCTCAGCTCAGAATGCTGGCTCTGAAACTCCCAATCTCACCAGGCTAAGCACCTGAACCAGGTAAAAAGATCTTGGATTAAAATGGCGGGGGCGGGGGGGGGGCTGCAAGTCAGATGCAGAATAACTTCCTGACCATCAGTTCACATGCTAATTAGACCAGGTCCCTTGGGAGAGGACACCCAGGAAGCCGGGTTCCTTCAGGCTCCACTGCTCTTTCCATCTGCTCACTTCCCCACTGTGACTCACTCACTTGCTTATACTTGCTCACTTTCCACTGACTCCTCTCTCTCCTGTCAATCCCTTGCTCCCTGGAGCATGCACCTGCCCTGTCATTCAGCTCTGCTGGATCCTATGCTGGGATCCTGTGCCAGGGACCCCAGCTCAGGTGACACAGAACCTGGGAGGTGGAAGGCCTAGCAGGCTGAAGTTCAGATGTGGACACCCAGGGCTCTCAAAGCCATCTCACTGTGAAGCCCAGGCCACTGGGGAGCAGGCACCTCACATCACCCGAGGGAGCCTGGCTCAGGATCCCCAGACAGTGACAGCCAGACACTTCTGCGTCTCCTCACAGCGGCAGACAGGGCTTTCCCACCATGCTTTTAATTTGGAGCTCATTTCATAGACAGAAACACTGAGGCCCAGAGCCACGGTTAAAAATGTTCCAACGTCACCAGCAGGTAGAGGCCAGGCCCTGCTCCTGTGGAGCTCTGCCCTGCATGTGCAGTGCCTACCTGGAAGGAGCCCAGCCCCAGCTCGAACACAAGTCTCTCCCTCTTGCTGACATTCTCTGGGGAAAAGGCAAACACCGTGTAGTGGATTCCAAACAATGGAATGAGCAGCAGTGTGGACCGGGCCAGCCGTCTGTTGGAAGAAAAGGAAGACACCTGCTCAGGGGCAGCAGGGGCTAGAGAGCAGAGTCACAGGTAGAGAAAGAAGTCCCAGCCCTCTCTCTCCCAATACCCTGACCACAGACCTGCTCAGCATCCTCAACTGGCTTCCAGGACTCTATGAGAATATTAGGGTGCCCTCTCAATCTGCGGGGCACCCATTCAGTGTCCTGAGAGTCACCCAAAATGTACATGCAATTTATAAGGACTCCTGTGTGATATGCTAAACCCTCAGGGTATATAGAGTCAGGGAAAAAACTCCAAATAGGGTCAGGAGGTTTGAGGCAAAGCACAGCTTCTCAAATCCCAAAGGAAACTCAAGAGCTGCCCCTTGGGGCCACAGAGACAGTGGTTTTCTGAGTGTGAGTCGAGCTGAGGACCCATACCCATGGAGAGCAACCAGAAGCATGAAGATTGGCAAGAACAGCACCATGTGGACCACAGAGGAGACTTGGAAGGGATCTAGGAAAGGCTACGAATGCTGGGCATAGAGCTCCACTGGGCGTAAGGAAGCTGTGAGCCAGGAAACCAAGTCACATGGAAAGAAGGATATTTGCTCTGAGGTGGGACAAGAAGGGAACCCCACCAGGCCTCCTGTGACCAGCTCTCCCCACACTCCTAGGCCAATAGTGATGGGTCCTATTCTAAGGGTGCAGGGAATGGAGGTCCATGGTGAGGGCATCAGGGGTCTATGAATTTTTGGTTGCTGCTCTGTGGGAGGCGCTGTCCCAGGATGCGGCCCCATCTCCGCCCACCCCAGCACAGTGGCTTCCCAGGGACCTTCCCTAGAGTCCGACCCCAGTTTGCAGTGTCCAGCCCAGCTCTTTCAAAGCATCGATTCCACTTTCTCCTGGCAAAGGTGACTCTGCTGAAGTGGACAGGGGGTTTCAGGTGGCTGTTGGATTTGAGGCCATCACAATGGGTGTGCCTCCCTCTCCCTGAACAGGGCCTTTCTGGGAGATAACATTCTACAGAATGTGAGGGCTCCAGACTTCAAGAAAAGCCAAATCCACAGACTCTGTGTGAGGCCTTGACATCTTAGCATCTATAATAGAGGATAAAGCAGGAGTGAGGAGGAAAGAAAAAGGTGCAGAGGGAGAAAGCGGAGCCTGGAGAGATTTCAGCAGGAGGACGCTCAGCCCAGAAAGGAGTGAGCCTGGCATGTGGGGTGCCCACCTGTTTCCTCCCTCTCACTGCTCACAGGCAGCACCTTGGGCAGGCCCTGGGGTCTCTGGACCAGAGCAGGGCCAAGCGGAGCTGAGCAAGCCCCTCCTCTGAGGCTGGTGGGCCATTCTTCCAGCTTTCCTCTGCTCTGTTTCTGACTATATGGCCCCTAAACACCTGAAAGCCCCTTGTTTCTGTTATGTCCCACAGCCAACACATCTGGGCACAGAGCCGACACTGGAAATAAGCGCCTGGAATCTTCCATCAGAACATCTCCTGGACACCAGGTCCTGCTGGTCTCTGTGTGCCAGGGCCTGGCAACAGAAGGCAGCAGGGAAAATCTGTAGATGGCACAGAAGAGCGAGGTGACCAACAGTAACCCATCTTGTCGTGCTGAGGGCTCTGCCATACTCTTGCCTCGGGACTGATTTTAGCACACACTTGAGGGATTCCCCTGAAACAGTCTGGGGAACCTGCCTTCCTCCTCTTGCCTTGCCCTCCCACAAATGGACTATCTCTGGATATTTGTCATTGAAGTCCAAAAAGGGTCCTGGAAACCAAGGTGTCAAACCTTTCCAGTTTCCACAATGGTGCTGGACAGGTCAGGTTCAGTGTATAAGAAACAGTAATCTTTCAGGCATAGGCTTGGGACCCTTCTAGCCTCAGGATGATATGGCAGCTGCACTGAGCACATCCTATGGACTAGTCCTGGGGTGCCTCCCCTCTCTGCAGCCCTGCGGCAATCCTGCCATGGTCAGGGACTTCAGGCAGAGACTCAGGCACCACGGGTGCTCTTTGGCTAATAGAGTAAGGGACAGATAAGGAGGTCTTCAGAGCCCCAGGTTTGGAAATTGTGCAGTTTGAGCTATGCACTTCTTGGCATGGGAATGTATGATGTGAATCTCACTCCAAGATCTGATTAGCCTAGAGAGACAGTGACACCAGGCAAAGGCCTCCACCCTCCTCCTCTAAAGCCCCACCCCAGGGTACAAGAGTCCTGAAATGCCAAGAAGAGCTTCCAATGGTCACAGATGCCCAGTGGGCTGCCAGGAAGGCAGTCTGCCACTCAATATGGAGGCTGGAATTCTGGTCAAATATGACTTGGGATATGATGCTAAGGACTCTGGGTTCAAATCTGTTTCCTGCCAATTATGTAGCCTGGAGGGAGTCCCTTTGCCTCTCAGTGCTTCAGTTTTCCCATCTGTAAAATGGAAGCAATATAAAGACCCAGCTCACAGGGTCACTGTGACTGCCAGCTCACACATAACAGTGCTCTGCACACAGACTGAAGTCACTTGCCCTGTGCAGGGGACAGTCTCTATGAACCCAAGGGCTACACTTTTAGAAATAATTTTGCAGTTGCAGAGATCAAAGCTCAGAGAAGTCAGGAATTTGGAGAGGGCCACACACAAGGTGGCACTGACAGAGACTGCACAGTGGCATCCTCAGCAGAGGGTCAGCCCCATGATGCCCTTGCAATGACTACAGCTTCGCCTTCACACTCTACCCTCCCACTCCAGAACCAAAGGACTGCAAAGAACTCACAAGACACTGGGACCTCAGCATGCAATAGCTGCGGGGTGGGGTTGGGCCGGGAGGCACAGGTTGGCGCTCCATGTGCTCCAGCCTGGCAGGACACAAGCTTAAGCCAGTGGCGGCAGTGGCGACAGCATGCGTTCCCCTCCCCTCCAGGACACCCGGCCACAGCCACGGCCACGCACACTTACAGAGTAATGGTGGACAGTTCTGACATCTTGCAAGAGTGCTGCTGAGCCCGCTGTGGCTTGCAGTAGCATTTCTGCACGCAGCTGCTGGGTGTGACAAGATTAGCACTTCTGTCAGCTGGGGGCCTTGGGCAAGGAAGAAACTGAGAGTGGATGGAGGAGCAGGGAACGGGGAGGCAGGGCCATGGTAATCATGTGGAGGAGGAGGAAGCTGAGGGCTAAGACATGGTCAGATCTGGACAAAGAAATCACACTTAGACGTGCACAAGTGTGTGCCTAGTTGCACACTCACATGAAAGCACTTTCACTGGGATCATTGGTAGGTGAGTAAGCTTGGAGTGAAATGTGTGTTTGGAGGGTGAGCCTAGTGGGAGCCCACGCAAGGAAAATAAGGCCATCTCCAGGGTCAGCCCCCAGCTCAGGACGTGGACTCACTGAGACAGACAGCTGGAAACTCTCTCTACCAACCTCACATGCTGCCTGGTATATCAGAATTCTGGACTTGGTTGTCAGAGTCCCCTGGCTGTTCCCTCTCCTCTTCTCCCCTCCCTCCGAGGCCTCCCTCTCAGTGTGTCAGTGCACACAGGATGGGCAGAGGTAAGCCTGGACTAACTGTATTATTAGGTGGCATAGACTTGCAGTATGCCCTGTGATAGCCAACACCCAAATGCAGCTATTTGAATTCAAATTAAATCAAATTAAATCCTGCTTCTTCAGCTGTTCTACCATATCCTAAGGGTTATTGGCTATATATAGCTGGTAGTGACCATACTGGACACAGGGACACAGACATGTGCATTCCTGTGGAAAGGTCTACTGCACAAGGCTGGGCTTGCCTGGATCAAAGCTCAAGGGCAGGAGCTGAGGACCAAGAGAACACCATTTGGGCACTGACCTGCCCTGCAGAAACTAATCACATTAAGGAGAAGAACCTGGAAACTAGTCTAGCTCCACATTCTGATAGACATAGAGAAGAGACCTCTTATCTCACAGAAACCTCAGGCTGACTCCCTCCTCTACAGGACCTTAGTGGTCCTGCTCCTGCTTCACATCTTTCAGAGGTAGATAAGAACTGCTGTGCCTGCAGTAGCTACTCCTGCACCAACCCTCCTCAGGATCACTTAACACTGGCGCTCCCAGTAACTGGCTAGGAGATTGATACATCCAGAGTGAATCAGATGTGAGTGAAGGCAGATATGCAGGAGACTCTAGACCCTCAACATCCTGGCCAGCATCTGCATGCCTCTGGCCTGTGGTTCTCACTTACTTGAACGTTTCTTCCTATTCACATCACCCATGAGGCAAGCATGATGGGCCTACTTTGCAGAAGAGAAACATGAGTCTGCTCAGAACAACTCCAGAGCAGCAGCTGCAGGACTGCCTGAGTACTTCTTAGGAATACAGACTCTGAATTGGGCATGGTGCTCACACCTGTAACCCCAGCACTTCCGGAAGGCTCAAGCAGAAGGATCACAAATTTGAGCCCTGCCTGGGCATCTTAGCAACTTATATGGCAAGACTCTCTCCCAAAATAAACATTAAAAAGATTTTAAAGGGCTGGGGATGTTACTCAGTGTAAGAATCCTGGGTTCCATCCCCGAAACTGCAAAAGGAAAGAAAGAAAGAAAGAAAGAAAGAAAGAAAGAAAGAAAGAAAGAAAGACAGTCAATAATCTCAGCTGCCACCAGCTCAGAATCTGAAGTTTAACAAGAGCCTTGAGTGAATGCACATGTTGGTCATGCTTGAGAGTCACTGAAGACACGCCTGTGTCACAGAATTTTTCATGTGCCTTCAATGAATGTCAGAGGTCTTTTTCATAGGTAAAAAGAGACAGACAGATGCAAATAAGAATGTTTCTTTAGTTAATTAAAAGAGCATAATAAGGTATATAGAGATGATAGCTACTCTATACTTCACATTTATTATTTCCCCTGAGCAGAATGAAAGGTGGGTTTTTTTTCATGTGTGGCCAATGACCCTTCAGCTTCACCTGGAGCGGACCACAAAAATGAAGTCCAGGATGCCAAGAGGCCACCTACATGGTATAGTGAAGCCTTCACCCTGAAGTCCAAGCTCTAGCTATTCCCTGATAGCCCTATATCTTCAGCTCCGAAATTGTACCCTCCCTTGCAGGACCCAAGATAATTCTACAGGAAACACAGGCTTCTCTGGTATCTTGAAAGATATTTGGAAAATTTTCTACAGATCATTCAGTGATAAAATAACTGGATGTTGGCTTTGATGGGGAAAAGAAAGCAGATCAGAGAGGAAAGGGGAGGATAACATTCAAAGGGACCCTCATGGGACGAGGCCCTATTCCCCAAACACTGCCCTTCCGCAAGCCTTCAATGTCTGTGCAAAAGGATGCACGGAAAAGAAATAGAACAAGACTGTGGCAACACAGCCAGAGCTAGGAGCGTGAGAAAGAGAGAGGCAGGGGGATCTCAGGATAATTAGTGAAAAGGGAATAGGAACTTTATCAAGAGAGAGAGATGAGCCTCCGCAGACTGCTGAGATGGTTTAGAGTTGGTACCAAGGGAGAATAAGAAACCCAGTCAAGGGTGTTGGATGGGACCGCTGGAGGGTGGCTGCCACCAAAATAGAAGTCAGGAGACCCCTGTGGCAGGTAAAGTGCCCACCCTGCAGATAAACTCACCCAGGGGGCTTTGCTTTCCAAGGCTGGCTTTGTTATGAGTTTGCAGGAAGCTCAAAGCCATTCCTAGAACTTGACACACATTTACCTGTACCAGCCAGAAATACAGCACACACCATGGCCTCACATCTGTGTGCAGGCTGGCTGGATTGTGGCCCTAGGATGCACCCAGAATGATGTTAGACTGAGACACCTATGGGGAGCCTTTGGCAGGTAGCACCCCATCTCCTTCACTTCTGTGACTCCTGGGATCATTATAATGTTAGGCCCTTGCTGGCCCACAAGACCTAGGGATCTGGGCTGAATATATGCCACTGAGTCCTTCCCTATGAGGAGATTCTGTGCACCCCAGAACCCTACCTAGTCCTAAAGAAGCACCCCTTAAATACTGCCAGCCCAGAAGATGCATGGCTAGACAGATCTTGGGAGTTTCCTTGGTGTTACCACCTCTCTTCCGCCATGTGGACAGGATGAGCCAGCTCTCTATGCCCTCTGCCAGCCTGGATCAGTCCCAAACTCAAAGCTTCATTTGGCCACTGACTTGCTGGGTGAGCTTAGATGTCTTTCTCTGAGCCTCAGTTTCTCCATCTCCAAAATAAACAATTCCCTGCTGCCAACCCCTGACAGCAACTGCAAGGATGGGATGATCCCAAGTATGTGTGCATGTAGGGGATGCTTTGGAAGTGGAAAATGGAGCATTCAACCCTGTAAACTGGAAACTGCTGGCTGTGGGTGAAGTCCTACAGCCTGAACTTCCTGGTTACACTGATGCCTAACGTAGTAGTGTGGGTCTTGGGAGACTAGAGCCCTCCTCTCTTTGGGGGCTGATGAAACCTAGACACAAGATGCAACTGGAGGTCCCCACTCCAGGTCCAAGAGGTAGCTTTCCATGCTCATATTCTGCAAGAGAGACCCACTGCAAATGAAGCCAGGTCACTTCATTACAAGAGAGTGGAGACTCTCCCTATACAATGAGTGTCTGTGCCAGAAACCTCAGCCTTCCCCTTCTGGTGACAGTGAGCCACACAGAGTGATAAACTTGGACCCACGTGAAAAGCATGCGGACCCACGTGAAAAGCATGCTGACCCTGCCCTACCCCAGCTGAACATTTAGCCCTCTTGCCCTGGCTCCATTTCTGGCCAGTGCCCAAGCCCTAAGCCTAGTCATTCATTCTACCAGAAGCACCAGGGTGAAGCAGAGGTAGCTCAGGACCACTGCCCCCTGTAAGGCCTCACACCCCGATTCCTTCCAAGGATGGGTAGGGAATACCATGTTGGTCCTTGGAGGACAAACCCTTATCATCTGAGCAGCTGGAACCAACCTACAGGAAAGAGAGTGAATGCTGGTCTGAGGGCACAGGCAGGGGGTCCTCTCGGGCTTTCTTGGGGACTCCTGGGTTTAAATTTGTTCTGGAAATAGAGGAAAAAACCAGAGAGCTGTTGTGGGCAGAACTGACGGTGCTTTACAGCCCAAAATATAAAACTGGAGTCCCAGGGGATCTGGGTACAGCCCTGCACCCTCCCTTTCCCCCAAGCCCTGCCTCCTCCACCTTCCCGCCAAGTTCTTCCCTCCTCCCCACGCAGAAACCTCCCCTTCAGAGCCAGCATCTCTTTTAAGCCCTGCAGCTTGGGGACATTTTTACACAGCACTGAGCCCATCAGGGGCCTCTTCTTCCAGGAAGCCTTACTTTATAGATTTGACAGCAATGTTGTGTAGCCAGCCTTGAGTTCGGCCCAGTTGTGCTACAGCAGTGGCTTCACTGGGTCCCTCCCACCAAATGCATGGCATGTCACTGGCAGCTAGTTCCCTGGGCTGTAGCAATATTCTGCATAACAACCCCGTACCTAGCCTGTCACATGCACTGGGGATTTGTGAATATTAACTGTGCACAGACCAAGTTGCAAGTGTTTAAAGTGCTCTGCATCTCTCAGCAACGCTGTCGCTGGGATTACCACTATACTCACTCACAGCATCTCCTTGACCCTGGAAAACTCAAACTAGTGGCTCAGTTCAGCCAGGATCAAGCCTATCCTTTGTCCAGCCCGGCCCTCCCACCTGCCTCTCAGACTGCATTCACCTGAGTTTTTAACCTTTTAAACCTTTGGGCTTAAAGCTAGTTGGGTTTTAGAGAAAGTCTTTTTAATATTTTTTTTTCCTCTAAAACAAGGATTACAGAGATTGCGCAAATCCTGGAGATGTTTTTACTTCACTGAAGCACACAAATTACTTATTTCCTTAAATGTCTTAGATTAACACTTAAATGTATAAACCCCCTATGATTATAAGTGGTTCTCACTGATGCTTTAGGAAGACAGGGTTCCTAACGTATAGTCAGCCCGAAACCAGACCCCACTCTTCTCCACCAGACCCTAGGAAGATTTTGCTGCCTAGGGCAGGATGTGTGAGCTGGCCAAATGTGATCAGGGCTCAGCAAGGTGTCCCTAATTAGGCTGAGGCTGAATGTGAGCCTCTGTGTGTGTCTATGCACAGGCAGAAGAAAGGAAAGCTCAGAAGATTCCTCCAAAAGAAGAGGCCTCCAGAATCTCAGAAGAAGAAATGGGTCCTGTCAGGAAACAAAGGAGGTGGAGACTGCTAGAGCTCAAGTGAGATCATGGCTGAATCTGCTGCTCGTTAGCTCCAGATACACAGTTGCTCTCAGCACAAGAACAATCTGAAATCAAGCAAGAGAAACTGAGACCAGATGCAAGATTATAGTTTCCAGCACTGGGAAAGGAGATGAGGGCAACGGTAGGACCCTATTCCGTGACTCCCGGAGATGAAGGCAGAAAGGATACTCTAGGACAATTTAAGCAGTGGTAGAGGGCTGATAACTTGCATCAGACCATTTCCTATTACACACAAGAGTTGATAAAAGCTTACAAAAAACGTGGAAAAAGACCACAAGTGGTTTGGAAAAAAAAAAAGTCTTCCTATGTAATGTGATCATTACAGAGCCAGTAAAAACACAGTTAACACCCAGGCTCCTGGTTAATTTACCTCAGGGAAAAGGGGAGATAACTAGGTTACACAGACAGAGGAAGAGCAAGCTCCGCCTCCTTAGGGAAGCCCCTAAGAAGCTTCAGGAGTGCTCTGGACACAGTATCTGAACAGTATCCTCATCTCCCTCTCTAGGAGAATAGTTAAAGTACTCAGGGAGCTCTGTGCTGGTGTCTCCCAACTATCCCACTTGTTCCCTGGGAAGCCATCCATCAAGGTTGTGAGCTTCAGACTGGAGCCTTTGATAAAGACATGACCAAGCACCAATATGGCCAAGCACAGCTCCTTCTAACTTGCTGTCTTCTGGAAGACTCCAGGAAGCTGTGCTTATGGCTCTTGCTGTGCACCACTAGCCAACCACAGGGGGCCACTAGGCTTTCTCTTCAGCATCAGAAACATCCTCAAGCCCCATGCTCCAGCTGGTTAAGCTCCCATTCACAAGGCCTGCAGGGTGAGGTAGGAGATGCTCTATGTGATTTTAGACGGTGCAAGACAAGACAAGGAGAGGATTGGAAGAGAGCCAGCTGGATTAAGCTCTTAGAGTCAGGACTGCAAAAGATTTCTCTGAAACCAAATGGCCATGAAAGTAGAGAAAACCTTGCACTCCGCTGTAAGACGTTGCCCTTGAACCCAATAATCACAAACAAAGAAGATGCTTCTCTGTCAAGGAAAGAGGTTGTTGAAGATGTAGAATCAGATAGATGCAGAGGTAAAGCTGTCCTGAGGAATGGTAGAGAACAGAAAGAATCCCTCTTTTAATACTCAGTGGAGAAAAAAATGTCTTCCTATGTCACCAGCGAATACTAAGCAACTTTTCCATGTTGGCCTGGAGTGTGAGCTTACAAAGTGATGCGAACAAGCTTCCTACAGAAGTAGAATCTCCAACGGAAAACCAAACTCTGGACAACTGAGACCCTAATGACCCTAGGCAATATGGTATTTCCCAATATGATGTCATTTAGGCCAAATCAGTCTCTTTCCCCTTCTGTGTAACAACATGCAGCTTAGGCGCTCCTAAATAGCTGAACCCTAGAGGCAGCTACATTTCAAGCTATTTCTGTCTATCTTTTAAAGACACTTTAATCAGGAAGGACTCTTGCAAATGGCCATGCTAGGACACCCTGTCAGCAAAGCCCAAGCCTCTCTTGCTGGTGACCCAAGCGCAGGCTCAAGTAGCTTTCAGAAATGGCTGTGGCATCCATATGATGGTACTTACAAGTAGATGCTAGACTCATTGCCTCCCATGTCTGGAGACTGCAGTTTCTGCACGAGGATAACAATGATGCCAATGAAAAGCACGAAGTTAACCTGAGGAGCAAAGAAAAAGCAGAAAAATTAACCAAGGGCAACGATTTGGCACACCTCTGCTTTTATACTGGCTATTACTCTGCCAGCAGAACGTTCTTAGAGCTACATAGTCAAAATCACATCTAGATTTCCGGTTCAAAATGGCAGCAGACAAACTAATTCTAGGGCATCTCTCCAGCCTCCCACAGTATTGCTGAAAGGAAAGAAAGGGATCAAAAAACGAAATTCCCTGCAAGTGCTGGGAAACAGGAAAGCATATCACGCATGACGCATGAAAATGAACAACTTCTAGAAGAGAAAGGGAAACTAGGATCAAGGTGATGGAAAAACTACAAGTGGAAACACAGAAGAGGCGACTGCAGAGGTGACAGCTCTTCTCTGGACAAATTCCAAGTTCAGAGTCATGGGATACGAGCAGTGGCTGTAGACACCACAGCAATGCTAATTACAGGATGGCCTGGGAACAGCCAGAGCACCATTTGCCTTTAGATAAAGATCAGCGACAAAGGCTTCCTAAACAAAGGGAAAAAGGAGGAGGAAGGGAAGCAAATAAATAGAAACAAGCACAATCAGAGGGCCGCTCAGGGATGTCTTTGGAATTCACCAAAGTAGTCCTTGGAGAAAAATAACGGGGATCCTAAAACCAGCACATTAAAAATAATACTTGCTAAAAAATCATTCGGCATTCAAATCAAAAGTTAGAGCACCACAGATTCAATCTATACAAGAAGAGAATCAATGTAGGGCAAAAAGTCTTAAGAGAAATTTTAAAAATAGGAGATTTGATGGATAAAACAAATGATTTTTGTTTTTATTGTGTTTGTTTTTCCAGCTCAGTTAGAATGATAAAGCATACTCTTCAGGCTGTCCATCTTGTGTTCTGCTACACGCCTGGTGTCTAATCAGAGCCTGGAATTAGCACAGCAAATACTACTAACTCCACGTTCTTGTCAATCAGAAAGAAGAAAATACAATTAGGCAAATTTAAGGGTGAAAACTGGACAAGAAACGTACAAATTATTCCAAAACATGGGAAAGTATCAGACAAAATGATAAAATAAAAAAGAACAAAAACAACTATAGGAGAGAGAGAAAATCTAATTAATAATCTTAGAAGAAATTTTAAAAGTAGGCAAAGGTGTAAATTAGTTAAAAAAAGCATCAGATCTAAATCACTTCATGGACAGCTAAGGAAAATGTAATTTATATGTTACTTAATTGATTCAAAGCAAATAAAAGGGAGCTTGCTCAGATTGCCAATGAGGTTAACCAAATCTTGCTCCAAAAGCCAGACAAAGACAGAAAATACACACACTCACTCAGATCATAAGACCACAGAGATTATGAGCAGCAATGCAAAAGCTTTAAACTAAATATTAACACAGAATTTAGCAGCGCATAAGGAATAAATGGAGAATGGCCACAAAGTTTTAATCCTACAAATGCAAAAAAGTAATGTACTAGTATCCATGAAAACATCTTAAAACAATAAGCTTTCATCATCTCCTATATGGCTGCCAACACTTTGATAATTGAAAACATTAAACATCAAAGGAGTCATTGGAAATACTGGAAATGAACACTCTTGCACTTTGCCAGAGAGGGCAATTTGCTAATCACAATATGTCAAATGCACATATGCTTTTCCCAAGAAATACCCCTTCTGGAGATTCATTCTAAAAACATGTTCAAACATGCTCAAGCTAGGCACAAATGCATTCCTTGTAGCACTGTGTATGATGAAATGAAAGTGGAGTACAATGTCCATCACTAAAGAAAGGTATGGCCTCTCCAATAACTGTCTCCAGAAAACATTTGATAAAATTCAATACCCATGCTTGATTTTTTCAGAAAGATATACTGAATCAAGCCACAAGAACTTTCCCAATCCAATGTAGGGTCACTACTCCGAGCTAGAGAAAATAGCATCCTTGACAAAAACAAGGAAGAGACAGTACTGGAAGGGAAGGGCAAAAACTATTTTCCTTTGCAGATTACATAATTTCCTACCTAGGAAATCCATGCGAACCAATGCAAAGGGTTATAAACTCATAAGATCAAAAATGTAACTAGGCAAAAAAATTAAAAACCCACAAAAACCAATAGCATTCTAATACAACATTAGTAACTCATCTGAAAATGTAATGGCATGATTCCTAGACCCAATAAAAGCCCAAACAGGAAAACACCGTAATATAGCAAGAACAAGGATGAACACTGAAACAGTTCACCAAAATAACTTCATGAGGGACTGAATAAATGGAGAATCATGCCACGCTCTTGGAGAGGAAGACTCAGTCTTTTAAGAAAACCAGTTCTGGGGCTGGGGATTGAGCTCAGCGGCACAAGGGCCTGCCTGGCAAGTGCAAGGTAATGAGTTTGATTCCCCCTGCCCCCTCCAAAAATAATCATTTTTCCAAAATAGTCTATAAATCCAATGCAATTTCTACACAGATCTCAACCAGAATTTTTTAAAAAGTTGCAACTTGACAAGGGTATTCCAAAGCCATTGAAAGAGTAAATATGCAAGAAATGTTTATGGGAAAGAAGGGAAAAGAAATTTGTATATTAGAAATCAAACCATGTTACAAGGCTACCACCATTGTACCAACTGTCATGGGAATAGATAGACAGGTTAATAACATAAAAGTGAAATTCTGAAACCAAATACAAGTATACTGAGTATTTATAATAAAATAACATTTCAACATAATGGAGAAAAGATTCAATAAAAAGGACGGAGTGTGGAATGTACATTCTTGAAAAATAAAATTAGATAAAATTAAATATTACTTCAGGCCAGACTTAAAAAATTAAATGAAAGGTGTACATGTAATAATCTAATCCACAAGTAAGATAAAACAATTAAGAAGAACATTTTTACATCTTAGATGGGAAAGGCCTCCATACATAAGAAATGAGGCACAGAATTCATAAAGACAAAAGCTGATGTCAATGCAATATGTATAACAGATGAAGTGTCACCGTCTTTCAGATGGTAGTAAGAGGGACTGGGGATATGGTTCAGCAGCATAGCACCTTCCCGGCAAGCACAAGGTCATGAGTTCGATCCTCAGTACCAAAACAAACAAACAAACAAAAATAGTAGTAAGAAAATCAACTTGCTAAAAACTGGGCAGAGGAAATGAACAAGAATACACAGAATAAAAACAAATTGTCCGTATTCACTAAAAAACTTCTCAGTCACACTTGTCCCATGGAAAAATGAGCTACCACTGCCCACCACAGGAATGTGCAATGTTTAAATAACATTATGAGTGCAGACAATGATGGGGGAAACAATCCATCCTTCCAGGGGAAGTATAGTTGCTGAAGAGTTTTCTCAGTACAATGTGGAATCTGAAAGTTTAAATATACTCTTTTGACCCAACTCCACCTCTAAAGAAATACTTGCAAATGCTTAAAGTTATGTACAAAACAATTCCTAGCAGTACTTTTATAATGAAGAAAAACGGAATAGGATCCACACCCAACCACAGAGGAATAGCTAAATAATTTGTGCATCCATGTTCCACAATATAATGCAGCAATAACAAAGGAGGAAGCCAATTTGTGCAGGGCCCTTCCACTTCCCGTCCTGCAGCCCTCAGCCCAGGCCCCCATCGCTTCCCTTCCCTTCCAAAAACACTCACCATTATAGAGCCAACCACAGGGCCTTTGATCACCCACCACAGAGCTGTGCTGTCATTCATCTCCCAGCAGCTAAAAGATGGGCAGACAGAGAGAAAAAAGATCATATCCAAGACACACCTGCAGGGCACCCTACCCGCTGGCTGGGAGCTGGTCACTTTCTCCCCCTGCAGCTCCTGAGGAGGAGTCAGATGAAAGGAGAGCTCTCTCTGGTTATAAAAATGGGGCCTCTCTTGGACACCTGGGAAAGGGCTATGTATCTCCTTCAAATCCAGGGCTCGTGGGATTCTTTTACCCCCCTGGAAAAGGAAAAGAGCTAGGCCAAGAAGCAGAGAGGACTCAGAAACCTTGCACAGTCTCTTGTGTTCTTGGTAAAGACGTAGCTGACATGCACAGGGTCAAGGCTCAGTGGTTCCAGGGCTGGGATGGTTGTTCAGTGGAGTTCATGTACAAATAGGTGGCCCCTGCGAAGCCACCTGTACTAATTGACTCTGCGCCTGAGCTCTGCTTCTTAGGCATGTACTCACCCTGTGTCATCAAAGTAGAGCCTCAGCACAGCCCACACCATCACACACACAGTCGGCGTCCCTGAGGAAGCAACAAAGCCCATGGTAAGAGAAAAACTAATGTGTCCCTCAGTTCCACACATCCTAGGAATACTAACTGCCCCTCACATACGGCTTTTTGGACTCTTCATTTTCCTCAGAACCAGAGCTATCTTTTGTCCTGGGGACAGGGTCTAGGGCTTGACTTATCCCTCAGACAATGGGGTTCGCACAGGCAGAGAGGTCAAAAAAGGACCCAAGAAAGAGCAATTAGCCATCAGCACAGAGCACTGCTCCCTCCTCACAGCCACTCCTTGGAAGTCACAACTCAGGACATACCTGACCAGGAGGCCTGAGCCCATCCAGGCACAACAGAGACCTACCCCAGCCAATAATGATGTACCAGTAGAAGTATCTTCTCTCAGGGAAGAAGGTCTCCACCAGCAGTGTGAAGAGATACAAGCCCTCGATAAACAGCCAGAAGTAGTTGGACACAACGCAGTAGTGAAAGAAAACCATGACGGCCTTGCATTCCACCTACAGGGAGGCCAGCGACCAGGAAATTTCAGATTCTCTAGCTTCCAGAAAAATCCCCAAATCCAGCTCCACAGGACCAGGCAGTGAGTCCTGAGGGCCTTCAGCACTGGCAAGGTTGGGCTCAAATATCTCGAGGAGCTAAGGGAGAGGACATTCTTGGATGGAAGAGCTGAAGACGGTGGCATCCTGTGACTCTTTGTTGAAGCTGCCCAGGTTGGCAAATTGCATGCAGGGAAAGGACTGGTGGACAGCATAGGGCCACTAGGCTGGTCCTCCCCTTCTTCTCGCTCCTCCTTACTCTCTCAGAGAGAGGGGAGACAGAAGCAGTCAGAGGGCTCTGCAGGAGGCTCCTTTCAAGACAAGGATTTGGAAATCTCTCCAGCAGCAGCAAAGACAGAGAGTCTGGCCCCCAGGAGTCTCTTTTTACATAAACCCTCCACACACACTACCCAATCAGGGTCTGAACTCTTCCCTGTTCCAGCTCCATCAAAATCCAGCTTCCCTGCCTACATATTGCCTCCTCCAAACTGAGGCTTGGACCACTCAGCTCCTGGGTACCAACATAGCTGGTTAAATGACCAAGAGCCCAGCAAGCCCTCTCCAAACTTCAGGTGCCTCTTTAGGAGCAGGAGCTGGCATTTCCATCTGACTTTCCTTGTCTGCTTTACCAGGTACAAGATCCAGAGTGAGGGACTGCATACATTCTGGCTACTGGAAGTGGTGTTGTACCCTGGCTACTAGGAACTCTATGGCAATTCCAGGATGACTCACAGTAGAGTCTCTGCCTTTGCCTGCAGGAGCACACTTCCCTGGGAGGTGTCAGGTACATGTGGGAGTGATCCTGGGGTGGTGAGGTGGGTTCCCCCAGGGCTCACTCACAGTAGAGATGAAGCAGTGGTTGTTGTCCTGTTCTGCATACAAGATCCAGTCTTTGATGAAGACAGAGATTGCCCTCAGCATGAAGGACACGAAGAGGTTCATGTGGATGAAGTTGCGGGTGCAGTGCAGCTTCCTACATGAGCAGATCAGGGACCAGGAAGCCTTGAACTCCAAAGCACTCATGCTGTCCATGCTGGGGCTGCTCTGGGCCTTCTCACTGGCTTTGGCTCAATGGGACCTCTCCCCAGGCTACCCATTCTCACACCCACCTGACCCTCACTTCCTGGCCCCTGTATCTAGCCCCGACTCCACATGCATGCATAGACCTTCTGTGCTCTCTTGCTGCCTAGACCTGGAGTATAAAAACAAGCAAAGTAGATCTCCTGCCCAGCTTCTGCCCGCTGGGTGGCCCTGGACAAGCCAGGTGCCCTCTCTAGGGACGAGTTCCCATCTGCTGTGCTACAGGTGGCTAAATGCCTTCCCAAGTGGCCTCCCAAGGCTGGCACCCAGGGAGGGGACAGGGTGATGAGCTGCACTAGCTCAGAGGCTGCTGGGATCTCACCGGAAGCGGCACAGGATGACCATAGCAGTGGTGAGGGTGACCAAAGAAGTGCTGTAGCCAACCGTGTAGAGGGCCTTCACTGACAAGTAGTAATAGTCCTGGAGCAGGGCACAGAGCACAGAGGATGTTGGGCTCTCCATGGGGCCTGCCACTGCCCCCTGGGCCTGAGCTCCGGCTCCCTGGCAGGACCTGCCCCACTGAACCCGCTCCTCCTCCCCATCTTTCAGTGATCTCACCTTCCATTCTCCATCTATTCCTGGCTGACTGGTTCGCTTCCTTCCAAACTCTCATTCTGCACGTGCTCAATAAATGTCTATTGAAGGAATAGCACTGACCATTCAGAACAGAAAGTTGCCTTAGCTTAGAGAAGGGTCCAGGAAGCCCCTGGTGGGCCCAGTATTAATATTCCATTGCGGGGTCATGGAGAAACCAGCATCCTAAAGGCAGAAGCCTGGGTCAGCCTGAGGCAGTGACAGAGCATCTGGCCTTTGGGTCTGGGTGCAGAGCTGCTACTCTGGAGGGCTGCCGAGATCCTGAGTTCCCTAGCTCTGCCCACCACCACTGGGAGTGCGGGGCAGACACTCACCTGGTCCTCAGGCTCAGTTTCATTCTCATAAAATCCACATGCGTCAAAGTAATGAGGGAAGGGCTCAGACCAGCCTTCTTCAGTGCAGTTCCGGCTCACAGAGCCCTTGTCTGCCACGAAAGAAAACTTGTTAAGGAGCAGAAATGGCCACAAGGGCCCTGAACTCATATGCAAAAGTGGGAAGTTCTGGAAGCCCATGTCCCTCCCTGGGAAAGAGGGACAAGAGGCTCAAAGAATCAGTGACTTCTGGGGACTTGGAGCTTAGCTTTCACTAAGAAGCAGCCGTAGATGTAGTAAGGGGCAGACTGATTTCTTAACCAAAGGAAAAAGAATCGCCTCTGCCATCCCTCCCCTGGACTACTCCTAGGAGTGTTCTCTGCAACAGCCAGAGCCCCTCTCCTCGGCCTGGTCAGTGTTTCTCAAATGTCAATGTGCAGAACAGCCCTGAGACTAATCACCAATTCAGATTCCAGTGGCTCCAACTCTCAGCTCCAGGGATTCTTAACGGGACAGCTGCACCAATCTGGGAATTGCCTCAAGTGCCCATGAGGTCTGAGTCTTTGGCATATCTGGAGGACACAGTCATAGGCAGTACTTGAATTTGCAACTCAGAGCCTCCCAGAAGCAGGGACATTTTGTACCAAGAGAATTGTGTACCTGTCTTGCTTGCTTAATTAGCAAGGACCAGACCTTCACTAACCTAGCAACATTCTGTATTAAAATATCTGTTTAAATTTTTTTAAATATGTTTGCCTTTAAGGATCTGATGGTCTGTTTCCTGTCACTAATGTACTTTAATCTTCTTTTAATTGACTTCAAGGCCATTTTGTGGGATGTCTGAGAGGGCAGGGTCAGCCAAAGCCATTGAAAGAGTCATTTGCTGGTGGCAAAAGATAGCTATGGCTCTTTTAGCCTCCAATGAATATATGTTTCATTTCTGACTCATCCAGCAGCCTTCAAGGGAGGGCTGCTGATGTCCAGGGAAGGAGAGAGGTCCAGCAGCCCCTCTTTCTTCCAACCAGCACCTGAACAAGGTCCAGATGGATACCTATCCCCAGCCTGGCTTCCAATAAGCTACTTGGTCTCTTAGGACACCGAGATTGATTTTTTTCAGGGACTAGAAAATTGTGTAAAAGAAAAAACTAAATGTCAACATAAAAAGGTCTCTGGGGACACTGCTGAAGAAATTCCTCCCTTCCATGGTCTGGGCACCTCTAACGGACTCAGGAAGGAGGCAAGGAAGACTGTGGGTCGAGGAGACATAAGGCAGGAGGCAAAAGCCAAGGAGGGTAGTTCCCTGCCTGTCCGATCTGCAGAAATATTTAAGGCCAGTCTCTTCAGATATGTATTTCCTGGGGTCTGGGGAAGAAGAAAAGGGAGAAGCCTGCCAGGAAGGAGGGTTCTGTCCATGTGGTGGGACCAGCCTCTGACACTTCTCCAGTGCTGAGTGCTAAGGAGGAGCCCTGGCCAGCCCTAGGGCCACAGAAGAGTACAACTGTGTCCCGAAGTTCCACGTCAAGCCAGCCCTTTTCTAGAAAATCTCTCCTGGGCTGCCATGATGACTTCCTTCCAAGTTCCTCTGAGCACTTTTTCAGAAAGTCCAGAAGTCCCAGAGGAGTCTACATCTTGGCCAAACCCCACCCCACCCCAGCCTCATTTCCTCTCCGCTTTGACCACTTCAGGGTGGTGGGAAGAGGAAAGGGAAGCTGCTTTGAAAAATAATTTTCAAAAAAATGTCCTGAAGGAAAAACAAAAAATTTCCTTTCTTTTCTTTTCTTCCTCTTTGTGATACAGTGTAGGCTCAGAAAAGCATAAACCTTTTTGTTCCAAAACTGTTTTGTGAATATTGTTAAAATCTCCGGGAGATGGAGCACTCTTCAGAGTGACAATCCTGGCAATGGCGAAGCCTATTTAACTAGGCTGATTCGCCCCAGAAACTTCACAGGAGCGCAGAAGTTTAGGGCTGTGGTTCCCAGATGGAGCTATCGCCTAGGGAGCCAGCTAGCAATGCACATGTGCAGGCCTGCCCTAGGCCTATAAATCAGATACTCTGGGAGGGAAGCCCTAGAGTCAATATTTCAACAAACCCAGGTGTAAGTCTGAGAACCTCCATTGTATGTGACCAAGATCAAAACTATCAGGAACCATCTAATGCAGGGATCTTTACTTGCAGTCCATTAAAGAGCTTCTAGAGATATGTGACTCCTGAGAAATTGTATGCACCGGGTGCTACTTGTGCAATTTTCCATCAGACAACCAGTAACTACAGCAGAGAAATGAGCATGCAAAGAGCATGTACCCACAGAGGACCAAGCCCAGCCAGCAATGGGGATCCTATCCCAAAACTCCCAGGGCAGAAAATACAACTCTGACCAGCCTTTTCCTGAGAGAGCCAAAGAGTTACTGTCAGGAAAATTGAGCTCTCCTGCAAACATACATGTGGACAGGGTCAAATGCCTGCTGATCAACTTTCCATATCACCCACTGTTCATCTGCAAGGCTTATCTCTGTTCCCCAAGGACTGCGGTGGCATCAAGAAGCCACACCACACAGCAGCCCCAGATCTTTCTAATACACTGCAATTCCAACACCAGGCTGGGTTTGTGTCTCTGGGATCAGCAGGATGGCCTGTGACTCAGTTCCCAGCTGATTTGAAGGAACTCAAAGGAGGCTCTCAGAGGAATGCAAAGGCATGGGAAAGGGCAAGAAACAGAAATGGGGGTGCAGAGCTGGGCTCCTTCCCTGGAGCTCAACTCTCCATCATGGCCTCGGAACCTGCTCTTCCAAAGGGAACCCAGAGCTGCGCACCCTTCATCCTGAGACATTTCGCTCCTTCCCTGCTCTTTGTTCCCATTTCCACCTTTTTCTTAGGCCAAAATTCCATAGTAGCCTTGCAATAAGCCCTGTGTTTGCTCTTCTTGTTTCCAAATACACCTCTAGGAAGACTCCTTGACCCTTCAACGCTCGGCCTGCACGCTGTGTGTATTGTCCCTTCTGCTCTCTTGCTCACTGTGCATCCCCGTCTCTCAGTCACTGGAGATGCCCAGACCTGTGCAGCTCACATGCAAGTTCAGGAAGTATGTAAGAAAGCACATGCACACGCCTATGAACACATGTAGACTCCTTTTCTAAGCCCTTGAATCCCCCTGCTGAGTTTCATCCTCCTAAACAAGCTGATAAAGGCCTTCAACTTAAGGGTTATGTCTTCTGTCTTCCTGTGCCTTCATTTCCAGGAAGGTCAAAGGGATAGTGGACACAGCCTACCATTGCACTCCCACCCCATCCTAATCCCAGCAGCCAGAGTCAGGAGCTCCTGAAGCTGGGCTCCTGCGGGATGAACAAATGGACAGCAGTCTATCCTCTTACCCGTGTTTTCAGTTTCCCAGACTGCAGCAGAAAAAGAGAGAAATGCAGAGATGAGCAGAGGTTGAAGTCAGGATCTGCTCTCACTGACCACTTCCTCCTCTTCCCCACTCCCAAACACTGGACATAGTTCTTTTGAGGGCCCAGAAAGCACAAGGACTATAAGCTCAGGGCCTCTCAGCAAGGCATCTTCTGCCTCCACCTTCAGAGCAGAAATGCATAGAGGCCCTGTAAGGAGAGAGGTCGGTGCCCCTGCACCTCCAGCTTCCAGCACCCTGTGCAGCCACCACAGCCACCCAGCTTCCTGAGACACAAACAGGAAAGTGAGAAATTCTGTTCTCTCTCTTCCAAGTGGAAAGGCAAGTCTCACCCATCAAGCCTTGTGAACAGAGGTGCTAAGAGGCCTCATCCTAATGAGTTATTAAGAACGGGTATAAACAACACATTCATGGTGCCTCCTGCCAGAAGGAGGAGGCTGGAGCAAAGTGGAGCTTAAGGAAATCTCCTTTACTGTTGATTCATTTTGCCTTTGTGGCTGCTGTTGTTGGAAGGAACTGTCTTCATGTGGAATCCGATCTACAGTAGATGTTCAATAAATGCTAAATAAATGACTGAATGAAAGCAATACACTCATGGAGGAAGTGATTAAGTTGGTTTCTAAAGAATGAATGAGGAAGCAGGCTGAATCACAGACTGTCAAGTGTGCCTGACATCCCCCCTCACTTTAACTCTCCCTGCAGCACTCCCAGTCTCCTCTTCCAAACTCCCTTCTGGCCTGCTCTAGGTCATTCTCAGTCACCAGGCCTTAGGATGGGAAAACTCAGCTGCTATGCTCCTCTTCTGCTGCCAGGAGGCCCAGCGGTGGGTGGGAGGCGGGGTACATGATTTATCTACCTTCTCTGGTCTTGGGCCTGGAGCCACAAATAGGAGCCTGGGACCCCACTGTGCTACTATCTCTCTGGGTGCCATCTCTTCTAAGTCCCTTTTCCTCCAAGAGAAATTTGCCACCAATTTTGGTGGCAAAATTGTTGGCATTCATGGTCTGAAAGCCAGTTTGGTCAGGATAGGGCTCTGCTCCCAGAGAAGGTGAGACCATAAAGGTTTCATGCCTTTAGGCAGAGCATTTCTTTACAGGTTGAGCTAACATTGTCACTTTATGTATCACAGAGCTCAGCCACACTGCCTGCCCCACAGGCTCCTAGACAGACACAGAGCCCCAGGTCTCTCCATGGCACTTCAATGGCCCCTGTAAACCTTGAACACAAACAAACCCAATGCACCTCCTCCTGAACCCCACTCACCCAGCCTTCCCTACAGGGAAGGTGCCTTCAAACCCTTGCCTCCCAAGCCAACCTCTGCAAGCTGTGGACAACAGTTTCTTGTATACTCTGGGTCCTCTCCCAAGAACCCAGGACCCTAAGGGCACAGGACCCAGCTCCTCCTCTCCCATGAACTCAGTTTATCTAGCAAACAGATGTGCTTGTCACTGTGCAGCCTGGGCTCTGTGCCACGTCAAGGGGTTTGTAACCATGGACATGGGTGAGAACTGGGTATCAGCGGCCCTCACTTCTCTATTCTGCCTCAAGGTGTCTGATTCCACACCCCATCCATGTGTTCCTCAGGCCTCTGAGAAGCAATGTGGCTGTGCGAGTGACAGTGCTGATAATGTCAGCTGACAATTTACTACTGAGTGTTCAAAATGTTCCAAGTCCCAAGCTAAGTGACATCCATATACATGACCTCATTTTACCCTCATGGATGCCCGGGGAGGAAGGCACCAAGCCACATTCCATCTGGCAGGCCAGAGACTTGGGCTGAGGAACTGTCTTGCTGCAGGTGCCCAGGAGGGTAAGAGATAGAGCTGAGATCAACACCATGCCTCAGAGCCCAATCTTTCTCATCCTTGGGCACCAGGTGCTAGGTCAGAGTGACACCATCCCCTAAATGTGCAGGAAGGCCCATGGTGTCACCCTCCCCACCAGCAAGGGACTAGCTGCCCACCCACAGGGCAGCCTGATCCTTGATCCCTAGCTTCTGAGAAGGCAACAGGTTAGACTAGCATGGCCTGAGGAGATTTTGGACTATACCCACCTTGGTCTGGGTTGAAGATTTGGAAGAGTTCAGGGCAGCTGACCTCAACAACCTCACCCACACGGGCCGGTTTCCAACATGTGATGTTGTCCCACATGCCAGGGCATCCTGGGAGGATGAGAACCATGGTAAGCATGGGGCCTGGCCACATACAGACACTGTGCACATGACACACACTGCACACCACCCATGCAAGGCCCTTGCAGAGGCCAGGGTGTCTTACGAGGAGAGAAAGTAAGGCTTCTTGTCTGAGGGACACTCAGACCAAGGACACAACAGTGCAGGTAGCCCTGGGCTAGGGAGGGAGCCACACTTGGTTTTACAGCGGTCACTCTGGGATTGTGGGGAGGGGAAAAGCACTTGGCCACCCAAGAGTGAGATGCCATAGGTTCCCTCTGCCCACCGTGCCTCAGCTCCTCTCCTCCTCCTCCATGTCTTCCAGTGGCTTCCACACAGCCTTGCTTCAGCCCCACCTCCTTAGCTGGCTTCTCCCCTCCATGAACTGGGACAGGGCTGAGACTGGTTAACCTAAGGCTGCTGCCAGGGACAAGCAGTTGTACATGCTGGCACTTGGAGGAGGAGCACAAATTCATCAAATGAGAGGAGAGGACATCATCCAGGGAAGCCTGAGCTGTCAAGGCTGGAACTGTGAAAGGGCTTGGAGGATCGAGAGACAGGAGTAGCAGGGACCACTGTGGAGGCCAGCTCAATGTCATGGGACCTCGCTGAGGGAGCTGAAGGGAAGAGTGCAAAGAAAGGCTCTACGAATCGTTAGGACTTAATGACTTACTGAACCTGAACTTCGAGGAAGAAGAAGATCTCAAGCTTGATAACCAGGTCTGGGGGCTCAGGGACCCCCTCCCTGATCCTTCTGTCTACTGTGCACTCTCTCTTTCTAGCTGCCACCAGCCCCTCTTCATCCATCTCTGTCCTTCCTCTACATGGAACCAATTCTCACCGAGGTCACCCGTGACTTTTTTGCTGCCAAGTCCAAGGAACAATTTCAACCTGCACTGGGTTCTGCTTGCCCCACTGAGGGAATGCAGGTGTAAAGGCTTCCCTGCCCTGGGCCAACATGGGTGAGTTAGCACAGCCACCCGAGACCACAGTCCTCAGTACCCAGCCAGTCCTCAGGATTGATCGCATGCCGAGTTACCACTGGACAACCCTGCCTGGAGGGGCCCAAGACAATTCAAATGCAGCACCTGCCTAGCCTAGCTAGAAGGCCAGGCCACCTTCGCTCTACGCTCTACCTCCTTCTCCTCCATGCTCCTCATCCAGCCTTGCCGGTTCTCCCTCCAGACATTTGGGCAACCCATTTCCCTCCACTGGGACAGTAGTTCCAGCTTCCTCAGAGGTCTCCTCCCTCCAGCCCGCCCACTGAGGCTCCCAGCTTTTCCAAATGAGTACAGGTTGGTCCAGACCCCTGACACTCTCCATAGTCTTAGCATCCCAATTACATGGTATGGCACCTTAACATAGTACCTAGAGCATCTGCCCTCCACTCATCCTACTACGCCACTGCTCACTTTCACCCTAGCACAAGATAGTGGGGGGTAGGGTTCACCCAGGGACAGGGTACAAAGTGACAACACAGTGGGAAGGAGCCCTGAGAACCCCCCAAAAGAATGTATAGAGATGTCACAGAGATTACAGCCAAGGTGCAGCAAGGGAGGAAGAAACCGAAGTGTTAGGGAGTTTAAGAAAAGAGATCCAAATCCTCAGAGGGGTCTATAAAAATGGGCTACAGACAGGGCCTCTGTGTCATACAGGGAAGCGAGTGACCATGGTGTCCCATCTCACAGCCTGCTGGGAAGATTAATTAGAGCATACATGGAAAGTTCCCAGAACAGCACAAGGCTTACTCTGTGCATGTCCACTGCTGTCATTAGCATTAATGTTATTATTTTAATTAGGTGTCCTTAGGAAGCACTCTCCTGAGAGAGGCTGCCCACATGGGGAGATGACAGAGACCTACAAGGTGACATGAAAGCTTGATGGCTAGCTGCTGACAGGTCTCAGAGGACACCTGGGAGACAGCAGGCAGAAGAGGAGCCTTGGTGCAGGTCTCATAAGGTCATGGTCTCTCTGTCAAGGTCTATGATTTCTGAGTGCTATGCAGACCAGAAGGCATCTACAATTTCTGAATGCAGAACATGCCAATTTTCAGAATTTAGAATGTGCCCTGCAGTGATAATAGCCAGCAGCCTCCTGCTCATGAACAGAGTTTAGGAGCTGTAAATACCACCAAGTAAAGCATAGGACAAGGCCAGATGAAGAGACCTGGCCCAGGTCTCAGCAATGGCCACAACAGATTCTATTCTACCCATTATGAGAGGACCTCTCGCCAGTGCATAGTTGGCCATGACATCTTGTCCTTGAAAAAGACCCAGCAGCACATCTTTGGCTGCCATAGCCCATGTTGACCATGGACTGGCTGTGGAGCATGGCTGTGTCTGGCCCAGACCCTAGGAGCCCCAGCCAACAGATGTTCCCGTAATGCAGAACATTAGGCGCTGGCATAGCCAGCTGCTACTGCCAGCTGACGTTGCTGAGGTCAGAAGGCCACATTAGAGGGTGAAAGCAGGGATGGGGGTGGAAGGAGGGATACGAGAGTCAGGCAGGGTAGCATGAGGTGCAGCTGGGCTGGAAATCAGCAGACCTTGGGAGGCATTCTCTTAATAGTGGCATAGGGAGTACCTTCTGTGCACTGGGGACTAGCTGGGAACCAGGGCTCAGGGGTAGAGAAAACTAACCTGTGAAGTTTATGTCAGCAAATAGACAAGGAGAAAGGGCAGGGTCTCTCCTCAACATCTCCACTAGAAGCCCTGTGCTGGTTTCCTCTGCTACATATCACATTCCTGATGTGCACACAAGCCCAGCAGTTTCTGTTATGCACTGCTTTGGGTGACCAGAGCTCAAATCTGTAACAGACAATCCTCTGGGACTTGCAGATGCCTCAGGGACAGTCATGTTATTCTCACCAGTCTCACTGTCACTCATCTTTATTTTTTTTTTTTTTGTCTTTTTCCTTTTTATCGTACCAGGGATCGAACTCATCACTTATGCCGCTGAGCTAAATCCCCAGCCCCACTGTCACTCATCTTTGAGCCACTCCCTTCTTTGGGAGATAATAAATTCTTTGAGGTCTTGGATCAAGGCCTTTGTTCCATGTATCCTCACCTGGACCAGACTCAGAACCCCTTGGCATCCCGTAACTTTGAATACATCTTACTGTCTTTATTCTTGCTGTGAGTTGCACTGGAGGTGGGAGATTGGAATTAACTTGCTGGCACTCCAATAATGTTTCAATAGAATTACAAATAAGAAGGCCTTGGGTTTTTCTAGATTGGACAGTAATTTTGTCTCTGTCCATCACACAGACTACATTGGCTTTGATGTCCCCACCCATGCACAGTCCAGACTCAGAGCAGCTTATTTTGCTGGGACTAGAAGACCTGAAGAGCCCTTTCCTCTCCCCACTTCTTCTTCTTCTTCCTCCTCCCTCCTTTTCCTCCTCCACCTGTTTCTCCTTTTAACCTCTTTCTTTCTCTCTTTCCTCTTTCCTTCCCCCTTATTCACTCATTTATTCAAACAGTCAAGAAGAATGAGTCAGACACTGAAGAGCAGTATAGGAATAAAGAGAAAGAGCTCATCTCCGCCTCACAGATCTCACAGCCCAACTCATGCTAATGATTTTTGGATGCTATGCTGAATGATATATTTGCTCATATTGCTACTGGAAGTTTGTGAGCAAACTTAGTGTCTTCAAATGGCACAAATTGTTATCTTACAGTTTGGAGGACAAAAATCTGAAAAGAATCTCACTGAACTAAAATCAAAGAATCAGGGGGAGGCTGGAGAACCTAGATAAGATTGTTTTCCCTTGCCTTTCAAGATGCTGCCTATATTCTTTGGCTCGTGGCCCCATCACTCACCTTTAAAGTCAGTGGGTTAGCATCTATAAATCTCACCTTCTTGGACGCTCTTGTATTGTCACTTATAATGATTATCATGATTATACAGTGCCCACCCAAATAATCCAGGGTAATCTTCCCTTCTCAAGATCCCGTATAAAGAAAAATCCCTTTTGCCATGTAAGGTCATATCTTCACAGGTTTTGAAAATTAGGATGTGGGTCTAAATCTCTAGGCAGCTGTGGGGTAACCTTATTCTCACAAAGGAGGTTCAGACAAAGATCCATATGATCTGATTTGGTGGAGTGTGGAGACAGCACATTTGAAAAGTAGAAACGCAGACACAGAGAACTGTCAGGACAGGAGATGGCAGTGGTCCAGAAGAGACTCTGCAGGCCTTGATTTGAAGTGATGGCAACTGCGATGAAGAGGAGCCCTGCATAGGACAAAGTTTGGATGCAGAAATGACAGGGCTTGGGGACAGAATGGCTAGTGCTCAAGACCATGTGCTATTGTGTGTGATGTGACTTATCACTATGTCCCATGGTGAGTGGAAGTGACAAACCTGCCTCTAGAATACCCTTCACATGTGTCCGCTGTCTCAGTCTTCCTTCCCTCAGCACCCTAAGAAGCCACATGTGGAGGCCACATGTTGAGAGTGGCAGTGTTTCAAGACGGGAGGGGCCTGGATCCCTGAATGACTGTGCAAAGCCAGGCTCTATCTCCCATCTCTGCTGACCAAACTGGCTTATGACGTATGCAAACAGGAAATGTCCCTGTGCTAAGCCTCTAAGATTTGAAGGTTAATTTGTCACTGCAGCAGAGTCTAGGCTTTCCCACTTGTACAGATGAGGGTAGAAAAGTACCATAGATGCCATCAAGTTTCTGGGTTGGGTGTGTGGATGGATGGGCTATTTACTACAGTGGAGAGGGCAGAGTAAAAGCAGGTAGTGGGGGACTGGGTAAGTTAGAAGTAAAGGTTTTAGGATATATAGACATGGGGGAGGGGGTCAAAGAGCTTGGTGAAGACAGCTGTCACACAGGCAGACAGGAGAAAGCAGCCTGGAGAAGAGGATAGGAAAAAGTCAGATGCTGTTTAGACCATGGGCCTGGATAGGTCATCCAGCAAAGGAGTGAGCTCAACAAAGAAAAGTGGAGAGAATGAGCCTGGCCTCAAGAGAAAACAAAATG